TTTCTTAGCATGTGTACAAATAAGATTCAAACCTTCCTATCAGAGGTTTTACTTTTTTTTCTCTGTAGTTTCAGTAAACAAATATTCGTTGCTAGATAGTATGTGGGAAATCCTATCATATCACTATTCAGAATATTCTTTCCCAATAAATCTGATTTTTGTTTTGTTTTGTCTATCCTGGGGACTGAACCCAGGACCTCAGGCATGCTATTTAAGTGCTCTACCACTTAGCTATCTACCTCAGCCTTTCCCAGTAAATTGTGCAAATAACTCTAAAATAGGTTTAACTGTCTTAGGACTTAGGTAAGGTTCCCAGATTCCAATGCAAAAACCTGTGATTATAACTAAGGACCAGAGGCCACTCTGAAGCAATACAAGAGAAAGGTGATTACTACGCCAGGTTAAATATGGGCTCTGGTGGAGAGAGGTGAATGTTGTCTTTGACGACAACTCTTTAAATGCCTAGTCTAATATAAAAAATTGTGCTTGTTCAAAGGGCAGAGAAGTTACATAGTGACATATTCTATACAAAGAAAAGCAAGGGAGCCCTCACTGAGAACAAAGTTCAATAATGAGAATCTTTGTTATGGACTCCTTCTGAACCAAAAAAAAAAAAACCAAGGGAAACAGTTATTCACACAAGTCAAAGTCCTTCCAGTTATTTTTTGTTGTTGTTGATGTTTTTTGAGACAGGGTCTCCCTATAGCCCCAGCTGGCCTGGAACTTGCTTTGTAGAACAGACTGGCTTCACAGAGATACACCTGCCTCTGCCACCCTGTGAGTGCTGGGATTAAAGGAATTGTGCCATCACACTCAGCCCTTCTAGTTGGTTTCTTTTTGAGACAGGGTCTCCCTGTAGCCCCCGCTGTCCTGGAACTCACTACATAGACCGGGCTGGCCTTGAACTCACAGAGATCCACCTGCCTCTGCCTCCCGAGTGCTGGGATTAAAGGTGTGTGCCACCATGCCTGGCCAGCCCTTCTAGTTTTTAATAACATTTGGAGATAATTTCACGTAGTATATAAAAACTCCAAGTATACAAGCTAAAGGGAGACAGTATCCTAAATTCAGTCATTTTGTGGTTTCTGAGGGCTGGGGGGATGGCTCAGTAGGTTAAGTGCCTGTTGTGTAAGCCTAAAGACCTGAGTTCAGATCTCTAGCACTCACATAAAAGCTGGGTGTGGAGGAGACAGCTGTAATCCTAGTGCTGGGAGATACAGACAGGAGTATTTAGGGGGTTTGCTGGTTAGCCAGCCTAGGCACCAGGTGAGCTCCAAGTTCAATGAACAATCCAGTCTCAAAGAAAAGAAGGTGGATAGTAATAGAGGAAGAGACCTGACATCGACCTCAGGCCTCCACAAGCACACAAATGTGTAAGAGTGCACGTATATACAGACACAGAAAATTGTTTCTGAGCTTTCAGGAGGGAAAAAAGGAGCAAAACCAGATCATATGCCTTTAGTTTGTAAAGCCCTCTCTCTTGGACAGCTTGCTCTTCTGGGAGATTTCACTTCTTGTTGAAAATAGGACAGCAGAAAATGTAAATGTTTCTAACTCAGAATTGTTGACTATAGTCACCAGTTACCCTATATGACTAACAATGTGAAAACAAGGGCTGAAATTAATGCCCAGAGAGATGAAGTAGGCAATAAAAAAATCCCAGAGAGAGCATCTCACAATTCTATACTTTAAAGACTATCAAAACTGAAAGGCAACTAGATTAAGCTCAAGTACTTAAAATCTGAGTTTGTCCTTCATAAAACCTATTTTCATTTCATTTAAGTCATCTTTTCCTTTCATGTACAATGCCCAGAAAAAGATGATTCTATTTGCTAAGTCTACTATCCTTATGAGTTAAGAGAAAGAGCAAATGTGACCTTTGTCCAAGTGGCTTTTGACAGATCCGGAAATAAGGAAGAAATTCAAAACAGAGCCTGAGATCTTAGCCTAACCTTTCCAATGAATCTTGGTCATAATCAGCCTGATTCTTTAGGGCAAGAGAAAAAGTAAACTGATATATCTGTTGACCTAGAAATTTACATATGGCTGGGCATGGTGGTGCTCATCTTCAATCCCAGCACTCAATGCCAGCCTGGTCTACATACCGAGCTGCAGGCCAGCTTGGGGGCTACAGGGAGACCCTGTCTCAAAAAAAGGGGCAAAAGAAAGAAATGCAGAAGGTATGATCTACTTTCACAGGTTTACTTATTCTGGGTCAAAACAAACTTACTATATGGAGTACTCAAACAGAATGTGGTAATACAACAATGTAAAATTTACAGAGAAATCTCTAAAAGCAAAAACCATAGAACTTGACAACTTCTAAGTTCTACTCTATCCCTTCAAAGTATTATTCTTTTGAGATCTCAGAAAATGTTACAAATTAATTCTGTTTCTCAGGTATTTTAATGTTTTCCTTCTTTTTTATTGTTTTCAACTGAGGCTGGTTTTTAAAGAATTTCTGAATTAGTTTCTTTCTCATTCTGTAGTTCTAGCCTCTTATATTAGTGGAGTCAATATCATCATAAATAATATAAAGTTGCAAAAGTTTAAAGACTGGACATTTTTTTTAATGTTCTGGAAAATAACCTTTAAGGCATATAAAAGTATAACATTACTGAGAATTTTGTTGATATTTTATTTTCTCTGGTTTAGCTATGAAAGTAGTAAATATGATTTCTTTTCACTAATTACTAAACCCAAGCATCTAGTGCAAAGGTAAGCAAAATTTTTTTGTAAAGAGTTAAAGAGCAAACATTTTAAATACTGGACACCAACAGTCTTTGTGGCAACTACTCAATTCTGTAGTCATAGCTCCAAATACAACACTGGCAATACATAAATAAACTGGCATGGAAGGGCATAGCTGTATTCGAATAAAAATTTGTTTGTAAAACTAGTTCTACATAGTAGTTCGCTGACCTCTGATCTATAGCATAGTATATATAGGCTGGTAGTTCAATAAATAGTTTTTATAATAATTATAAGAAATAGGCATGTTGGGGGTATGGACAGTTTTATAACTGTATCTTTTTACTAGCTAGCTATGATTAGATCTTGATTTCTTTTTTTTAATTTTTAAAAATATTTTATTATTTTTATTTTATGTGTATGCATGTATTGCCTTGCATGTAGATCTTGATTTCTAAAACTAGAGTTTTATAACCATTTAAAGTATATTCAAGATCAGTTGGTAAAGGTGCTTGCTACCAAGCCTGACAAACTAAATTTGATCCCTGGAACACACACGGTAAGGAAAGAACTGGTTCACACAAGCTGTTTTCTGACATGCGTACTGTAGTGCAAGCATATGAGTGTGGGCACATGTGTACACACACACACACACACACACACACACACACACACACACACTCCCACACACAAATTAATTAAAAATAACTAAAAAGGTATAGTCACATGTCATAATTATAGAAATAGACAAAAGGCAGAATACTTTCCTGATGATTAATTAAATAGAACTGTCAACTGAATCTACTCTGAATAAAGCAGAATGCTGATTACTGACAAAGATACAACCAAACAAGCATACTGAGGTACATTTTCTCTGCAATACTGATAGATCAACAGTTCATCCTTATTCGATACTTAGAAGGCACTAGAAACTAAGTAAAACACAAGTAATACAAAGCCAGTAGTCATAGATGAATGCCTCTCTCAACCCTCACCAGATGGTAATTAACACAGAGGCCCATAATGGGTCAGCATACAGAGTATAAGACACTGTGGAGTGCTCAACCCTAAATGGGACACCTATATCACATCCTTACCTTCCAAAGTTCAGGGATCATTGCAGAAGAGGGGGCAAAAAGATTGTAAGAGCCAGAGGTGAAAGGTGAATATAAGGAATCTGTGTTGTCTGGACACCACAAGGTACCTTTACAGATGAACACACAACACTTACATGAAAGCATAAATAAGACCTGTATAAACCCAAGCTAGATAGTGGTCCAGCATGGATGGGGGAGACAGGCAGGAAACTCAGCCTTAGCTGAGCATCTATTGGTAACTGATAGATGCTAGAAGAAGGAGAATCAGTTTTCCTTACTAGTGTGACTCCTGGTAGGTTGGACCAGACTCCAAGGGATAGACCCACACCCAAGAGAACTTGGGAAACACAGATTAGACTCAATAGGCCTTAAAACCAAACCAAACCAAACCCAAACAAATAATAACTGAGGACATTGGGGGGAGGGATATAAGGTGGAAGTAGAGAGGGGAATGGGATCTAGATACTGTCAAAATATATTGTTATAAATTCTTAAATAAAAGTAATTTTTAAAATTGGAATAGATTGCAATTCAAAGCCCATCCTTGGTTTAGAATAACTGCTAAAGGCTTGTAGCTTATGAGAAGATGCTTAACCATTAACATTTCCTTCATTTATTATTTTCTATTTTATGTGTATGAGTGTATTGACTGCATGTATATAAGTGCATCTATGTTGTGCAATGCCTACGCAAGTCAGAAGTGGGCATCAAATTCCCCTGGAACTGGAATTGCAAAGGTTGTTAGCCACCATGTGGGTGCTAACCTTGTTCCTCTGCAAGAGGCCATCTCTCCAGTTTGACCATTAACATTTTCTAATCTAGTCAACAATTTGTTACTATAAATTAACACAGGGCTTTGGAATCAACACAGTGGGGTTCCAATTCCACTTCTGCCATTTCCTAGCTGTATAATCCTGAGAAATGTTTCTGTGTCTGAATTTCCTTGTTTATAAAATGGGCATAATAACAGTATTCAATTCAAAGGATTGGTGGAATAATTAAATTTAAAACTACTTGGCATAGTGCCTGGCATACATCAAGTCTGTGATAGCTATGAGCTGTTGCTATTTATTACAGATTCCTAAATTACTAAGAATGATATCAAGTATACTACAATTTAAAGGCCTGATTGAAGGTGGAAATGCTCTTTAAAAACTGTTCCAAAATGCTGAGGCAAGTGCTGAGGCTGGTTCCAGCCTGTCTTGTACTAACCAGCAGAAGAGGTGTCCTTTTCCACAGTCCACAGCAGGGGCTCTGAGCAATGGGAAGCTGAGTGTGTCAGACCCAGATGTATTTGAGCCCTGTTTGGTTAGTCTGACTGCTCTTTCACAGCCTGCAGTAGGACACCATTTAATGGCAGGATTATTTTCAACAAAGGCCTGTTTAAAATAGTAATAAAAAAACAAAAGAAACTATTTCAGCTATAAATTACAATATAGAGAGCACTTCCACAGTAAATAAAAGCAAATAAAAATAACACACAATAAGTTGTCAGTTTCAAAAAATACTAAAAAATTATTGGAAAATACTAGAAATACTTCAGAGTGAAAAAAGTGACAATTACTTTAGTAATGACATGACTTTCAAACCTAATTTTCTTTAATTTAAAAACCAGGTAAATGACGATAAAGTAAAAATGCAGTTATACACATAGGAAACATGTAACTTAAAAATGGTTTGTCATGCCAGGCATGGTGGTGCATGCCTTTAATCCCAGCACTTGGGAGGCAGGTGGATCTTCGTTGAGTTTGAGGCCAGCCTGGTCTACATAGTGAGTTCCAGGCCAGGTGGGGCTACAGGGAGACCCTATCTCAAAGACAACAAAAAAAAAAAAAAAAAAAAAAAAAAAAAAAAAAAGGTTTGTCATATGATGCGCTACTTTTTTGATGAAATATGAGCAAAATCTTGTAATTATCCTCATTACAATAGTAAATTTCTAAATGGCATCTTATAATACAAAAAAATCATTACAATAACACTTTCTAAATTGAAGAAGCAGGGCCTCTTTTTGCAAACCCATACACCAGTATGTGAAGCAAGAGTATCCAAAAAAGCAATTGAAATGAAGTTTTAAATCATAACTCCTAAATGAAAATAGAGAGCATGGAAAATAGGAGAAAAAAACATTATAATTAATTACATGAAACAATTATTTGAATTTAAGAAATGATTAATTTCCAGGTTAAAAAATTTTTATTTGTAAATACTCATTTTCAGGAGTATAAAATATAGTTGGAAAAACATATGGACTATCTACTTTGAGAATTATTTTGATCAATCAGCAATAACAGTGGAACAGGTAAATTGGTAAAGAGTTATGATTAATAGCTTTTTGTGGTAACTGATATGTTAAGTCTTTCATTTTGTCTTTTATGATTACAAAATGCTACTCTGGCTCAAAATTTTAATTAATATTATCATTCTTTTATGCAATATTTCTGAGAAACAAAGTTAGAGATCATTATCTTGTTTTCAAAAAGTAAAAAAGCAGGCTTAATGTATTAAGATTCTGGAAATCAGGTAATTGGCAACATACCTTAATATCAAACTGCAGGTATCGTTTGTCCATCTCTTTAGAAACTACACTTTCTATGATCTCTACAGGCACAAGTTGGAAGCATTCATATGCAGGGCAGAAAATGTTGTGAGCTTCACCTTCTTGAATTTTCAGATTTAAAAACCTATTTAAAATATCAATTGATAGAAGAAAGGTAAGGATGCAAGTTATTTGTACATTCTAAGATTTTTCTTTTGATGAATTTTCTATTATAGTGTGATTAAAATAATACCCACAAGGGCTAGGGGAATAGCTCAATGGCACCAGGCTCTGGGTTTATTCCCCATCCACAAACTCCGCCATAAGTTGCACATGGTGGCACACACCTGTAACCCTGAACTCAGGAGGCTATGGCAGGATGCCTTCAAGTTTGTGGCTAGCCTAGACTACAGAGTAAAACTCAGTATTAAAAAACTAAAATCCCAGGCAGGGCGTGGTGGCGCACGCCTTTAGTCCCAGCACTTGGGAGGCAGAGACAGGCAGATCTTTGTGAGTTCAAGGCCAGCCTGGTCTACATAGTGAGTTCAGGTCAGCTGGGACTACAGGGAGATCCTGTCTCAAAAAGACAAAAAAACAAACAAACAAAAAACAAAACAAAACAAAAAAACAAAAACAAAAAAACAAAAACCAAAAAAAACCCCAATATTTTTATTACTTTTCATGCATTTTATAAAAAAAAAAAAAAAAAAAAAAAAATCACCAATAAAGCATGGACTATCAATTGAGTTCTAAGCACTCATTATATACACATTTATGTATCTACATACATATGGTTTATATAACTATATTTGTTTTTGTTTTATCCCCTATGAAAATCTGAATTGAGGCCAGACATGGTGGCACACTCCTTTAATCCTAGCACAGAGACAGGCAGATATTTGTGAGTTCCAAACAAGGCTGGAACATAATGAGTTTCAGGCCAACAAGGGATACAGAGTAAGACCATGTCTCAAAAAACAAAGCAAAGCAAAACAAAACAAAACAAACATTAGAACTGAGTGATTTATAAATTCAAATTCAATTCTTGATAGTTTATCCTTTTATATAAAAGTGGAGAAAATCAAGGTATTTTGGGGTACCACTGAAATACAGCATACTTTGCTTTTTGACTTTTTTTTTTGAGACAGGGTCTCCCTGTAGACCCAACTGGCCTGGGACTCGCTATGTAGACCAGGCTAGACTTAACTAACAGAGATCGCTTGCCTCTGCCTCCTGAATGGTGGGATTAGTGTGTGCACTGTGCTGGTTAGCACACTTTTATATTAAAGAGAAAGGTTACATTTCCCTTACATTTATTTCATTCAGATAAATATTAAAATGAGCTCTATGTTGTACTCTATGTACACTGCTGAGGTAGTGGATTATACTGTATTTAACACTTAAATTCTAGAGAAAATAAATGGAAAAGAGGCAATTAAATTATGACTCTCGAGTTATCATCACCAATGACTTTGATAATTTCTTATCTTTTTTCTTTAATTCTATTGATAACATTTTACTTAGGAAGAAAAGAAATCAATCTCAGTGAGACTTCAATAGACCTGAGGCACAAGCCTTAATATTAGAAAGGACATTCTAAAGTGAGTAGAAAATATAATTCCTTTTTGTTTTAAGTCCTTGGCACAGACGCCCCAAAGCATCTGGCTTGACTGATAACATAGGGGGATTGGGAAAAGACAGATGGACGTTTCTCAAGCTTTATGAGGATCTTCAGAAACCTTGTCATCAAAAGCCACATTTATTTCCTTTATGTTGCTGCAAAGATTGCTATTAATTTATAAGTGATTTTTAAATCAATATATTAACTACCCACTTGTTTTACATATGAATCAAGTCCAATAACTGCAACTTGGCAAAACCCAGGTTAACACAGCAGGTCCCTCAAACAGCAGAGTTGATAATGTTAAGCTAATTATCTGAAGAAGATTTTCTGCTCCAGAACTAGGTCAAGGATTACTTTAGTTTGTGAGTTCTGACCTCTGTCAAATAGTCTTCTTGTATCAGCTATGTTAACTTGACCCTGTTAGACTAAGAATATCACCTGATGACATTTTGAAAAGCAGTTTTTGTTTTCTCCAAATGAAATCTTGCCTCACGCTGTTGCAGAAAACATAAAAGCACACCAAATGAAACCAGAATGACAGATCAGTAGGTTGTTTATGTATTCAGGGTGGAAAACAGATGTGGGAGGATTACAGGAAGGCAGAAAGAGAAGCACAAGCTGGATTCAAGGGGAAATGAGTAAATTGTGTGTGTGCAGGTGCACATGAATGTGGGTGTGCATATGTGTATGCCTGTATGTGGAGGCCACATGGATAACCTCAGGTGTCATCCTCAGGAACACTATCAACTTCCTCTGTGATAGTCTCTCATTGCCCTAGAGCTAGCCAATGAGGCCATATTGGCTGGACAGTGAGCCCTAAAATCTGGATCTGTCTGTCTCCACCTCTCCAGCACTGGGATTATAAGTGTAGCCTACTATGCCCAACATTTTAATGTGGTTCTGGAAAATGAACTTAAATTTTCCATGCTTGGGCAAATATTTTATCCACTGAGCTATTCACCACTATGAGTAAACTTCCAAGGGTGAAGGATATATTCATTATTATGATTATGATGATGGTTTCATAGTGTATACATTATAACAAGTTTATACACTTGTTTATTTTAAATACATATACAGATGTAAGTCAATGGGTACCTCAACGAAACTTTTAAAAAATAGGAAAAAACCCTCAAATTTTCTCCAGTTCTTTGCTCTCTCTTTTGTGGTGCTCCCTAGACCTTGGCACACAGTACACAATGAAAAAAATAGCTTGAAATTTTAAAATTTTTCTTAGTTAAATCATCAAATAAGAGTTCTGTGTGTCCCCAGAGACAGCGAGCTACTGTACTGTGCATTCGTTGTGCTCTGCCATTTGTTTACAAAATCTCTCAGAAGACGCAATCACAAAACAAAGCTCGTGCATGAGAACGTGCAAATCTAAGACAGGTGACAGGAAGGAGGGCAGAGAGAAGCATAAGAGAAAAAGTAAATTTTCCATTGTAATATACACCCAATCTTTAGTAGAGGCATTTAGTTCTGAATTAATTAAAAATAAATAAATAAAAAGGAATTTTAAATATCTATATTCTTATAGATTTTCAAGGCTATTTGCTTGCCTCAAAAAATTCAGAGAAAACACAAAACTAAGTGCTTAAAAGTCCTGAGATATAAGACACAACTGATTCTTGATATTTCGATAGTATAAGCTTGATATTTATATTAGATACAATATAAATTAAATAGTAACACTGTTATTAATATATACTTGTCTTGTTGTCAAACAGGAAAAACAAAAATATTCCTTCTTAGTAGTAAAGTATAATACATTTCAATATAAATAAGAAACCAGTAAGTGAACCACACTGTTACATACTGAATGCAATTTTATTAGTAAATCAGATGTCCTATCATGTAGTTAGAGATGAGTAAGCTCTCATATACTCACGACTCCCAACATCCTCTACAAAAGTCATGTCCACAGGGCATATCCACTGGATCTTCAAATACAGAAATACTGCACATACAAATGTCACACTGGAGACATATAAGAAAAGGGACTTAAAAGGGTTGTACTTTGGAGAGAAACAATACATTTACTTTATTCAATGTTTCTTTTAAATATTTTATTTATTATTTTTATTTTATGTGTATGAGTGTATTGTCTGCATGTATGTGAGTGCACCCGTGTCGTGCAATGCCACGGAGGTCAGAAGAGGGCTTCGGATTCCCCTGGAACTGGAGTTAAGGATGGTTTGTACCCACCATGTGGGTGCTGGGAATCGAACCTGGATCCTCTGCAAGAGCAGTCAGTGCTCTTAACTGCTGAGCCATCTCTCCAGCCCCTATTCAATGTTTTAATGGCAAAAACATTACTTCACTAATTATAAATTTTAAAAGTTAAATGTTTTTTAAAGCTACAAGGGCTGTTAAAAGTGCCTATCTTGGATTGAATAATAAATATTATGACTATTTTTAGTATAATATTGTGGCATTTAAATGTTTTAATGCAAAAGCCAAACTAAATTTCCCTATTAATTAGCATCTGTAGCATCTGTACATGTGGAAAAGTACAAAAAACAAATCATTATAATCTATTCCAGTCAAGATCACATTGTATGCTACAAAATAATCACTTCAGTTTCATGTTCTTTATCCTATGCTCATCCAGAAAACTCCTCAAAAACAGAGTAACTCTGTGTTTTGAACATGGCAATTCAGGATATTAAGATTGGCAACTTGGGCTGGGGATGTGCCTAGCACAGGCAAGCACCTGAGTTCAAGTTCTAGCACCCCTTTCTCCCACCAAATAAAACAGCAAAGTAAAAATTTTCAAGTAAGGAACCTTGCTAAAAAACTATGTTATCTTTTAACAGTGACTTATAAGAAGGCAACCTTATGTTATAGATGTAAATTATAGAAATGGGATTTTGTTTTCCTAAATGGTCCCTACCATTACACAAGGGATGGTTTCATATTTATTACAAATTTCTGAGCTAAACCATTCAAGGAACACTGGAAGTTCCTAAAAGCATAACAATGGTGTGCCAACTCATGCCATACAAGGGCAGTGCTATTCCCATTTACTATGGAAATACACCCAAACAACAAACTTAGAAGCTTTGCGGAAACAAGCATATGATGATCAAAACATATTGTAAAGGTTTAAAAATGAGCTTTCAAGCCGGGCGTGGTGGCGCACGCCTTTAATCCCAGCACTTGGGAGGCAGAGTCAGGTGGATCTCTGTGAGTTCAAGGCCAGCCTGGTCTACACAGTGAGTTCCAGGACAGCTGGGGCTACAGGGAGACCCTGTCTCAAAAAGACCAAAAAAAAAAAAAAAAAAAAAATGAGCTTTCAATAAACTACTACAAACTCAGTTTTTAATATTTCAGTATACTGTGTTTAATCATATTGAAGCTTTTAAGAGAAAATATAGATGTCTTTCCCAAACTGTTTTGAAATGGAAAAAGAAATTTTTTTGCTTTTCAATCTATAATTCAGAGATCACAAAAATATTCTGTGATATTAAGAATTTATCAAAGCATGAAAATAAAAGATGCTTTAAAACAAGATACAAGATCCAATTATAAGATTGTAACCAGCCACTCCATGGAACAATGTTAAATAGTTCAGAAGCTAAAAAATGAAAACCAAAGCTATGGAAGTACACTAAGCCATACCAGACTGGTATCTAAGTCCCCAGGAGATAAACTGATTTCATCTGGAGATGTGACAGAAGAGCGTGTTGTCCTCGGGGTTCTTGGAGAAGGAAGCGTGTCCCAGGCATTATATCCACTTGGCGGTGGAGTTGGCATTTGAACACCTGATCGTTGGCAGCAGTTCTCTGGGTTAGACATCCAAGCTTCAAGTAATTTCTCCCTGTCCCAATCTTTAGGAAAAATGAAACAGATACCTCTCAAAAAACAGAACTATGTACTGAAATATTTTGAAACTTAGATACAGAATGAAGAAGACAGGTCTTCTTCAAGTTAAAAATAGCATTTATATAGAAGCAGGAAATGCTTGGGTATGCTGAAGTTACTAATGTATTAAAATGAGAACTAAACTCTTATTATAACTGTCATTATCCAAGAATGTGCTCAAAATTCCCAGTAATTTCTACTAATAATTTAAACAGATGGCTCACACCCTTTAGAATTTACTAAATTTTTATTGGTACAGGTTTAATTTAGCCATGCTCCTCTTTCAATACATAATTTTGAAATTGGCTTCACAATGACGTCTACCTCTAAAATTATAGTCTTAAAGGTCATTTGGTAAAGAGCTTGAAAGCAGAATGAACTTCCCAAGGAAATGATATAACAAGATTTTAGTGAACTAGGTATAAATCTATACTGAGGAAGCTTATATTTGGCTTAACTGAAAAAAGCAAAACAAAACATTATCTTCTTTCTGTGAACAATTATAAAATAGCTAAGTGAAATGTGTTACTATAGAACTCTTTAAAAACCACAGACTAAAACATCCCATTACTTGTGTGTACATCAACTTATTCCTCATGGCCACCTTCAGTCATACTCAGGTGAGGAAACCAAGACTTAGGGAAGTTAAACTTGTTCTTTCTACCACTACACGCTGTCAAACATATTAAAGGGTAATCTTAAATTATTCACCGTATGTCCATCTTATGCAATTTTTTTAGGTTACATACAAACAGCTGTAGAGATTTTCTACACAACACTCCAGTTATATTAGCTAGTGTATTTGCCAGTTTACCAGGGAAAGTATGAATGTGACATATAATACAGAAGACATCTATAGTTCCTGCTAAGAAAATCCCAAGGAGAGACGCAAAGGTATAAATGAAAGACCTTTAGGAGTTCTGTAAAGTTGCAGTAAAAGACGTGTTGGTTTAGGGAGATGGAAAATACAATGGGAAATAGGGGATGAAACAGCCTCATCTGAATGCATTTCAGTAAATGTTGGTAAACAAAAGTCAGTGTTCTGATGGTTCATTACTCTGACTAAAATCATGGCCAGCATGCAGTATTCTATTTTCTTGTGCTCCTTGTAAACAGTCCTCTAGATAATTAAAAAACTCCACTAGAAGCTTAAATTTTCTAGCAGTATGGCGTCATATTTCCATTTCTTAAAAAGAGCTGTGACTGTGTTTCTCAAATACATGGCATGAAATTTAACAAATCTACCAATTTTTATCAGTCATTTTAACATATAAAAGCAATCCTTCATTTGAGCATTTTTTTTCCAGAATGATGACATAAGGACTAAGTAAATATTTTATCATTCTTGAATGTCTCATAATTTTTTTTCACTTGACTACTCTTGGTTCTGATGGAATCACATAAAATAATGGATTAAAATTTATCTTGATATTTAAGACATGATACTATCTAGTATTAAGATATGAAAAGATATCTCTTATCTTGCAGTTATATTAGGAAAAATTAATCTGCCATGCTCATTTTTATACTGTCAGTTATTTTAGGTGAGGGGAAATGGCTAAGTTACTAACTTCTTTAGCCCCTGGTCTCAGTTTCCTAGGTGTTAACTGTGGATAACTACTATCTAACCTATTGGTTTCATAAGAATTAACATGTGGTATGTTTGAAATAGTGTATAGCAGATGGGCAGGATCAATATATGTAGGTGTAATTAGCTACTAAGCAGCATTTCAACACTTAAGAAACTACTCTTGCAACCTCAAGTATGTGGGCCATAGTCTCAGGAGTTCTATGCCAGGAACGAGGGCATTGGCTAGATGACCCTGGTGAGTAATCATGAACTTTACTTCTGAAAATTAAGAAAAAGTGTCAATGAATAAATTATGCTCAGAGCCATGTAGTTTAGCAAGGTTAAAAAAAAATCTTTACTGTCATGTATAGAGATGGATGCTTATAATCCCTGTACTTGGTAAGCAGAGCTGGGAGGAACACCACAAATTTGAGGCTAGCTTCAATTACAGAATGAGACCTCTCAAATATGCCCCTCCCACAAACAAACAAACAAACAAACAAACAAACAGCTTGAAAACTGGGGGCTTAACAGAAGGTTCAGCACTTAAAAGCACTGGTTGCTCTTGCAGAGGACCTGGGTTCGAATCCTAGCACCAACATGACAGCTAACAACCGTCCATAACTCCAGTTCAATGGTAATCAGATGTCCTCTTCTCTCCGCAGGGATTGCATGACATGGGTACACTTACATACATGCAGGCTTTACAAGCATACACATAAAATAAAAACCTTTACAATCTTTGTCTCTCAAAATAAGACTACTGCTAGTACCTTAAGGGACAATGATGGGAGAAAAAGGAGATGGCATTAACCCTTTAAAGTATGACATACTAAAACTTAAAATACCATTTACCTGTTGAAATGAGGCACGAAGCACAAATTATTCTACTGAAATATACCAGCAAATTAAAAAAATGTTGTTAAAACTACAATCATAAATGATGGGCAAACAGCTAATTAAAATGCCTGGTGTGAATCTTTCTTTTGTATTTTTAAATTATTTTGTCTTTTTTTTCTGAGCTGAGAACCGAACCCAGGGCTCGAGCTAAATCCCCAACCCCGTATTTATAAATTATTAATAATACACTAACTCAAACTACATTTGAAAACATAAATTTTTTTTTTTTTGGTCTTTTTGAGACAGGGTCTCCCTGTAAGCCCCAGCTGTTCTGGAACTCACTGTGTAGACCAAGCTGGCCTTGAACTAACAGAGATCCCCCTGCCTCTGCCTCCCAAGTGCTGGGACTAAAAGCATGTGCCACCACACCTGGCAAAATTCTTTTAAATTTTATTTATTTTTATTTTTTACATGTGTGAATGTTTTGCCTGCATGTATGCAAGTGCACCTGTGTTGTGCAATACCCATGGAGGTGAGAAGAGGGCATCATATCTTCAGGAACTGGAGTTATTGACAATTGTTAGCCACCATGTGAATGCTGGGAATGGAAATCTGGTTTTCTGCAAGAACAGCCAGTACTCTTAAACCACTATGCCATCTCTCCAGCCCATACTTAAAAATCTTATATTAGGGCCAGGTGTGGTGGAGCATACCATTTAATTCCAGGATTCAGGAGGCAGAGGCAGGAGGATCTCTGTGAGATTGAGGCCAGCCTGTTCTACATACTGAGTTCCAGGCCAGATGGGGCTACAGGAAGAATCTGTCTCAAAAAAAAAAAAAAATTATATTAAAGCAACAAAATTGAAAAATTAAGAGACTATTAGGGGCTAGGCATAGTGGCACATTCATAGGCAGGAGTAAGCAGATCTCTGTGTTTGAGGCAAGCTTGGTATAAATAGTGAGTTCCAGGCTAGCCAGGGCTCAATAGTGATACTTGTCTCAAAAACAGAACAAACCCCACCTCGCAAATGACAAGCTATGAGAATTGAATTGATGCAGGTTTCCTTTTATGTACAGCTTCATCTATATATGCATTATTATAAAAGCATTTTAGAAAGTTTTACAATATTCAATCATTTGTATTTAGTATGTGCTAAACTGAAGATATTTTATTAAATTCTTTATAAATAACAAAAAGTATATCATTGTATATCATTTCTGTTAATTTTCAGAACAGTATCTTTTTGCTGTTTTGTTTTTTGAGACAGGGTCTTGAATGTGTACTTGCCCCAACCTCCTAATTGCTAGGATTAAAAGTGTGAGCTATCACCTGTGCCACAAGATCTTTCTTTCACTTGTTTTTTCCTTGCTTTCTATCTTTACTCTTTGTCAGTTAATCCATTCTATATTTTTCTCCATGTTACTACAATTTATATATAAACACACACAAATATATTAAAGCATTCTGATTATTTTACACAATATTACATCAACTTTATTTCTCAATCAACCCTCTGAAAAAGGTCTTGAAATAAACTAGTTTAACATTTAATTCCTTTTTTATTTTTACTTATTTTTTTTTTTTTGCCTTTTTGAAGCAGGGTCTCCCTGTAGCTCCAGCTGTCCTGGAACTCACTATGTAGACCAGGCTGGCCTTGAATTCACAGAGATCCGCCTGCCTCTGCCTCCCAAGTGCTGGGACTACAGGCGTGCACCACCACACCCGGCTATTTAATTCCTTCTTAATAATCTTACTCACTCTGGGAAGCAATTTGTATGTCATGCTCTATTTAAATATTCCCCTGCTTAGTTTTCTCTGTCTCTCTCTCTCTCTCTGTGTGTGTGTGTGTGTGTGTGTGTGTCTGTGTTAATGTGTAGGTACTTGTTAGTGTGGGTGTTGGTATGTGTGTGCATGTGGAGACCTGGTCAATATCAGGTATCTTTACTCAATTGCTTTCTATCTTTATCTTTTGAGACAGTATTTCAACGAATGTGAAACTCATGGTTTAGGTTAGGCTGGCTGACCAATGAGCTTCAGAGATCCTCCCCTATATCCAAATGCTGGGGTTACCGGCACTTGTAACTGCGCCTGGCTTTTCATTGGGTTCTGGGGACCGAAATTCAGTGCATGATGCCTGTGCAGTAGACACTTCACCAAATGAGCCACCGTCCTAGCCCCGTTTGGTTATTTTTTTGCCAGGACAATAATACTGCAATGTATATCATGGTATATGTGTAAATATAGACTGATATTTACTGTGTTTTTGGATAAAGTCCCTGGAATAGGGTTAATTACCGTGTGGCCATCACATTTCTATAAGAAAATGCCAGACAGCTTTCAGAAACGGCTATGTAAATTACTGTTTCTGCCAGCAATGCAAGACTTTACGTTTTGTCCCCAGCTGTGGATGTTACAGCTCTGCTACATGTTTATGAAGCCACAGTTCTCTGTGATTTCAATTTATGTTTTGAACAATAGGTGAATTGGAAAAAAATTTTTCATGTGTTTGTTGGCCATTAAGATTTTCTTTCTTTCTTTCTTTC